TCAGGAGATGCTGCCAGCCGCCACCACCACGAGTAGCAGGATGTAAGATACCAGTAAGCCACAAGCCACGTGGCAACTTATAGATTAATAGAAATGGGTTAATTTAAGATATAAGAACTAGATAGCAAGAAGCCTGAGCCACACAGCCATACAGTTTATAAGTCTCTGTGTGTTTGCTTGGATCCGAGCGGCGGCGAAACTGGCGGGTGAGAGAGATTTGTCCTGACCACGGGCCAGGCAGGACCAGGAAAACATCAGCTACAAGACACATACAAACACAAGTAAAAATAATAAATAAAATGGTTAAAATAATTCTTCCAAAATTATAAAAGTGACATATACCCCACATCTAGGGAAGTAGTGTAAAAATATCCGAAGTAGAAAAGTGAATGCTCCCACATACCCAGTTCTTACACATTGCTTTCCAGTGCATTACTCATCTGCAACTGTTTTGTCCTTTAAATGCTAACAGCCTGACCAATCTTTCTTTGTTTCTGTGATATTCACACACACACCAAATACACATATTTGCACATGGGAAGAAGTGATGGTAGTTTTACAAGAAACAAGAACATTCTACATATTATTTTGTCACTTGTTAGAAATCTACATTGATACTTTAGATAGCTTCATAACATTACAGAAGAAAAATGTGTCATAATATATTGAAACATGTCTCTATTGATGGATATTCAGTTTTTTTTCTAGATGTTTTGAAAATACAAAAATTGCAACAAGGCCAGCAAGATGCTTAGCAGGTAAAGTGTCTTCCATGCAAGCCTTATGACCTAAAGTCAGTCCCTGGAGCCCACATTAAAAGGTAGAAGCAGAGAACTGACACCACAAAGCAGTGCTCTGACCTTCATGCCTGCACACCACCTCCATCACACACATGTACACAAATAACAGTCATAATAATGACAATAAAAATTTAAATTGCTGCAGTAAATTACCTGTATGCACATAGTCATACTGGCACATACATTCATTTAAGCTAAGTTCTTAAAAGTAGGGTCACTAGGTCATACCTACATATAATTTTAATGATGACCCTTTGATATCTCCTGTTAATTCAGTTATTATATTCTAGATGTAATAAGGTATATACAATTTCTGTATAATCTCTCTATTCTATTTACAATTACAGGTAACTTTCTATGTACTACATAATTCTGAAGTTAGCTAAATATGTGTCTATATATCTATTAATGTTTGGGGCTTTCTTAAATTTCATCAAATTACATCAAACCTCAATGTTTAAATGCAAAGAATTTATATCTACTCCACATATTATAAACCCAGAGAGAAATCAAAGTTTTGACAGAAGAATTAGATATAATATACTCTTTTACATGAGTGCCTCTCAATTTTAAATGAGCCGACATTAATTACATCTTTTATGAGAACAAGAATTGGTCAAATGATTTCAAAATCCAGAAACTCTATGTATGAGGCATGTGCTTCCATCACACCTAAGACTAACTCCAAACACACTAACTCCACAGACCAAAAATCATGTTTGCTGGACAACACAAAGAAGACTAGAGATTCTCTCAGTGTGGTGAGTCAACAGTCATGTGATACTTGTGTCACTAAAAGGGTTCATTTTTAGATCAAGATAAATGAAAACAGAAAAACCAAAAAGGATTCCAATGCTAAGCCCCCAAAACACTGTTATGTAGGTTAGCACATCTAAAAATCTCTCAAAGTTAATTTAAGGAAATAACATTTCTCAAAGGCTTGGCAACATTCAGTCACCTCTATCACCAAAGTAAAGTCCTGTAAACAAGTATAAAGTGGTTAGTAGAGGGGTCTGTGAGAAGAAAACTCTGGACACTTTTCATATTTAGTATATACTCTGCTTGATCATATTGTTGACATCTAAGAAATTCCTGTGTATAGGGCATGGGATGAAGAGTTAGAAAATTTAAAAAGCCAACAGGAGATGACTCAATGGCCTTTGTGATACCTTAATCTTATGCCCTACATGGCTGGAAATGGCACTGGATTTAACTGCTAGGTCTTATAACATGTGGATTTCACTGTCTTCCAACTAGAAACAGGTCTTTTGATCAAAAAGAAATGAAAACAGAAAACTTGAAATAATCCAAACACTGAACCCCGAGGAGTTAATCTCTTACCTGAGTAATTAACAAGGACTTTCAATTATCTTGCTCTCATCACTTCAGTGAAAAAAACCCTAGTTGTTATTTCCAGAGGAAATCCATGTCCACAGACCATAAACTCAATCTAGTTAATAGCTAACTTAGGGAAAAGGTGGGAGTTGGAGTCAGATGAAGGACCACTGTAGGGTGATGGTAAATGAGTTACCTCCAGACAGCCAGCTGCTACTGTCTGAGGCCTCTACTGAGACTGAGTGAGAGGAGATGTGAAAAGCAAGACAGAAGCAGCCAGAAAGATAAAATTCTCCCTAGCTGAACTCACTGCAGGAGTAACTAAAAAATGACAAGGACTCTGGCTAAAAAGAAGGGAAAGCAAAGAGAAGAAAAGGTACAAAAAGATATAGATCGAAGGTGCTAGCTAGAACTCATCCTCCTCCATGCTTCTCAAGAAGAAGCGAGTAAGATAGGGTTTGAGTCTTTTGGGACAGTCTAAGAGATTCTGTCTAAGACAGAAACCAAGATCTCTCCCACTCCTACTCTCCTCCCACTTTCCAACCCCTTATGTAAGATTAGATGCACAGGAGGTCTCTATAAAAAATCCTGTGATTTTTATAATTGGTTCCTAAAAGTACTACTTGAGATCTCAGTGGAAGGCTGGGCCAAAGTAAAAACAGTGCTCATGAACAAGGAGAAACCACATGGAAAACAGAACTTGTCCCTCAATGGGTTCACAGTCAACAGAAACTGAATGTCTTCTTACGTGCTTACAAACAACTAAGTTTAATCCAGACAGGATGTGGCTTTTATAACATAAGAAAACTGCAATAAATGACAAGATAACCCTAAACTAACGTCTACAAAAAGTCTTACAAAATACCAAATATGTTCAATGTAGAGATTCTGGATGAGTAGTACATAGAACCCTAGAATCTGATGCAATTTCTAAATCTTAGTTTCTTTTCCTGTTGCCGTGATCAGACACCCTGACAAAAGCAACTTAAGGGAGAAAGGTTCATTTTGGCTCAGAGTTCATTGTGGCAGGCAAGCCAAAGCAGCTGGAACTTAAAGCAGTTGGTTGTACTGCATCCACAACCACGAGCAGAGAGAAATGAATGAATATATGCTGGTGCTCAGATCACTTTATCCATTTTATATCATCCAGTATCCCCTGCCAAGGGAATATTTCCAACTACAGTTAAGATAGACCTTCCCACACCAATAAATATAATCAAGATACTATCCACAGGCATGCCCAAAGGCCCATCTCCAGGTGACTGTAGACTGTCAAGTTGATATCAACACTATTCACAACAGGACCTCCAGAGTTAAGGCAACAGTTCTGCACTCTGCTTCCTCCTCTAACTCCACTGAGCTGGCTTGTTAAGGGATTCCAAGTAGTCAGCATCCATGCTGAGAAAGTATTTTCATTATTAGGTTTTTTCTGTGCGTGATATGAATTTTAGAATTCTATGACTTTCCTACTGGGACAGAAAGTGGCAAGTTTTACCAAGCATATTGAATAAATGAGATGGAAAAAGTATTGACCACATTTTAAAGAAATACCTCACTGCATCATGGATGTAGAGAAATTTATGAACTGTCACAAACTCAAGAGGGACTGAAAGCTTCTGGCAATGCTTCTTTGCTAAATCAATATTTTTATCTCAAAATTTCACATGAGTTCTCTATAAATAAAATTCCAGTACCCTCTAAGAGATCATATATCATATTACAAGTTATTTTCTAACCTAAGACACTGACCATATGCTGCTGAGGAACTGATCACCTGCACAAGAACATACAAAACCCTGAATGTGTAAGTACACTGGCTTGGAAAATTCCAAGGATACAGGATTGGTATTCATGACTGAACACTCAAAATTATTTTTCATGTAAAAGTTTAAATGACATCAAGTATACTAATCAGAGGAGCTCATTAGTACCTTTATGCATGACAAATGGCATTGTTACTCTAGTCATGGTAGTAACCTATCAATAAAACATACTTAACATTCAACAGCTGCACTGTGCTTGTTTGAGTGACTACACAGAAATGAGAATGAAAGAAAACCTGACCAAGTTCCTTCTTCCAAAAAAGAAAATTGTGTCTTCTTTTCAGAGCTAATATTTTACTGTCAAGTCCAGCTGGCCTTAAAGTTTCCCTGTAGCCCAGGCTGGCCTTAAATTCTCTCTGTAGCCAGGGCCAGCCTTAAACTGGTGATCCCCTTAACCCAGCCTTCCAACTGCTAGAATATACGCATGGACCAGCACACTATGCACCCAAATGTCCTCATATTAGATTGAATGCTTCCTTTCTGGTAACAAAAGTATTTTTGTCATAAATCATGGCACTTACAAAAATATAGAAAACAGAACAAAACCTAAGTAGCTACTGACATGTGAATACAAACAGCATGCTTTTGTCCTTTTGCTTAGAGACTCCCTAGAATGACATCAATAGCATCACCAGTAGAATTTAGGTCAATGGGCCAATTACTCAATGCTGACATCAAAGGCAGAAACAAGCTGCTGCTTCTCTGCCTGTTTCTTTTTGAGTCTCAGTGTTAAGCAATCTCGGAAGCAACTTTATGTGCCACAAATAAATAAATAAATAATAAACACACAAGCAAATCTCAAAAGCTCATACGAATTATTGCTTCTAGAAAGAAAAAATTGCACTTTTAGTTCTCTGGGTCAACAGCGTCTTTACCATTCCCACACCCCCGACACAAATCTCAGTTTTCTTGTTACCAAGTGAATGAACAGCCCTAGGAATAATAGTCCATTGTTAATTAGCTAGTCTCTTAACAGCAGAAGCCGACCAATTCAATTTGAATCTCCCAAACACAGATGGAAACAGCTTAAACAGAGGCTAACCTGGTGGTGGCTGGTGCTGGGATGGAGCTGTGATCTTCTCTGGCCTCAAGCTTTTTTCTGAAGGTTCCTCAGATACCAGCCAAGTTTGGCTTGCTCTGAGGGAAGTCGGGCTGCCTCCTTTGGTCTCCGTGACCTTTGTAGAAGATGATGGCTCCAAGGTGACAGCGGAGGGGAACCCGGAGGAGACACCGTTCTTCCTACCAGGGCACTCATTAAAAGCAGCTTCCCCTTCACTAGGCAGTGGAGGGAGCAGGAGGATCCTGTGGTGTTGCTGAGGGCTGGGGCACCTTGGAGACAGAGGCGAGGGAACAGGTGACAGACGTTTGTGTGCGCTGGACTGAGGCGATGAATTATTAAATACCATGCCGCGAGCTGTTGGTGTTTGGGGGGCTGGCTTCCTCTCATCACATTTAGGTTGTGGGGAGTCAGGACCTACAGTGTGGGGCAGATCCAGAAGCAAGAATTTATGGCCACTCTTGGGTAGCCCAGCCTTCCTTTGGCTTCTAGTTTCTGGGAGAGTGTGGGTGGCCCTTGCATTGAGGGAGAAGCCTAGTCTTTTCCCCTCAGTGGCTTCATCTAACTTCTCACTCTCTATCACCTTCCGGAGAACCTTGTTCACAGCCCCCTCGGTGCTGGCTGGTTCACTGGGAATGGAGGCTCGTTCTGTGGCTGAGGGTTGCAATGACTTGACCCCTTGCTGCTCCTCCCCCAGGCTCCTGGAACTTTGAGTCTCATCTTTAGCTCCTGAGAGGACGAGGAAGTCAGCTCTTGGGATGAACTCAGTATGGGTCTCTGAGCAAAAGGCAACCCTTTCCTCACCATCGGGATGAGCCCTAACTACCCTTTGAACTTGAGCAGAAAGCTCCTGGACCTTGGCCACCACTGTGGAAACAGGTTTCTTCCTGCAAGTCCTTTCCAGTGACTTTGACTTCCGAGTCCCGCCCCTCTCTGCCCCTGGATGTTTCTCAGGACTTTCGGACAAACTTGGAGGTTCCTGCTCCTGAGAACTCTTGAGCTGCCTTCCTATGCCAGCATCTCCTACCTCGGTGGGGCTGCTGTCTGGAGACAGAGGTCCTTCAAGATCAGTGTCCTCTGAGGTCCTCCCAGAGCTCCGGAAGCCCAGGTCTGCATCTGGTGTCCTGAGGATGTTGGCAGGGCAGCTCTCTCTCCTCCGTGGGGAAGAGGTAAGTGTTCCCTGGGGAACTAAGTTTCCTCTTTCTTCTAGGAGCTGAAGATTAGGCCTAACCCGGGAAGGAGGAAGGGAGCTACTGGAACAGACCTGGTCCTTCCCCATCTGAAGAGCTGATTCCTGGCGGCCACGCCCTTTCCTCCTGGTTCTCTTCAGCCGGAGCTCCTCAGGGCTCTCTCTCCTCCTGCCAGACCTCCGGGGCTTTGTGCTCCCCTGGGTGCTCCCCCTAATGAGCGAGTTCACAGCGAGCTCTCTGCTCCAATTGCCAGCACTCTGGAAGCAGTCTTCCTCAGGCACACGGCTCACTGACAGCTCCTGCAACCTCCCTTCCTGGTTCCCCACTGAAATTCCCAGGATGTGGTCTGACCTCAGCAGACTGTCCAGCAGCTTCTCCCTCTCAGCTGTGAGCTTGTATAGCTCTGTCAGAATGTCTTTTGTGGGAGTCTGTTTGAAAAATATGTCGCCGGGATGTTCGTTTGGCTGCTGGCTGAGGCCGGTGATGTCTGGCCCCTCCCTGACTTGGTAGCAGTTATGAAAAGCGTTATTGGATCTGTCTAGAGTTACAGTGCCCTTGTATGAAAATCCTCTGACTTCCCCCTTTGGAAGATAGAAGCTGATATAGCAGAGTTCAGTGATGGGGCTATGCAACTGGAGGGTGCAGTGAGTGCCTTCCATTATGCCTACCTAATTATTCATGCTGTGGAGATGCTGGTCTGTGGTCAGCTCCAGTGGGAAGGCATGTGATGGTGACTAGACAGAGCAGGCAGCTGACAGTCCTCTCCGGCAATGAGGCTGCCTGTTAGAGAAACACAGGAAGAAAGCAGCTTGTCTAACAGAGTATACACATCAAAGGGCAATATCAATCACAACATAACCACACTGATCCTTTCTAGCCAGGAGCCTGATGGCAGCTTAAGCTTCTACCCACCTTGACCAGGAGGCTTTTCTATAGCTAAGTGATGGGAAGAGCTCTCACTTCAGTCACAGGACAGCAGGTCCCCTTTCTTCACTTGGGAATCCACTGTACAGCCTACAGCCAGTCTGTCTACTTTCTTCAGACCACAATTTCTATTCTTCTGTAGAATAGCTGTGAACCTTCCAGGAATTCTGGGAAAATAGGACTTTGAGAACCTTAGAAACAATCATTGTTTTAATGACTCATGTTTGGAATGTTATTTTCAAAGATGAGAAGCTTTTGTTATCATAAAAAACATTCTAAGGTTCTCTTACATTGAAGCACAGTGTGAGGTCGAAGTATCAGAGCAGAATCTGATGAGAGATGACGTTTCAGGCCTGCTTGACCTCCTGGCAGTGTTCTATCAAAAAGCTTTGTACAAAATATATGACGTTTTAGATTTAAATGTTTAAAATTAAGTAATTGTAGAGGCTTAATCAAGTTTGGATTTGTTTTGAGATAGGTATTGCCATGTAGCCTTGGCTGGCCTGAATGTGCTATGTAGACTGGGCTGAACTTGAACTTGTGATGGTCCTCCTCCCTCTGTCAGCCAAATGCTGAGATCAGATGTGTGCACTGCCATGTCCAGCTTGATTTTTATTTAATAATGTCTTCCCTATCTACCTGTTGACTATTTGAAGACAAGTGCAATAGCAAAGAAAAATACTGTTGGTCCTTAGGGATTTTCAATGACTTGATCATAAAAGTGGTTAGAAATGCCACGAGAGTGGTGAAGGTGGCCTCTGCTTTATGTGATTTGGTGGGGGAGGTCCTCAAAATTGTCTTCATAACTAATACCTCCACATACAATTATGGAGCCTAGAATGCTATACTATAACACTTCATTTATGAAGGTAATATACCACCCAGTCTTCAAGTTGTCCTCACTTAAAGGACATCCCCCAGGAATAAAAAAATAACAATCATTTAACCACTGATGTAGTTTGTAAATTACTTTCCCCAAGTATTTTATTTTTTCTTAACTGGTTTTAAACTAGAAAAAAAAGTTATATAAAGGTATATTTTGAGTTCCGAAAAGAGGAAGAATTTGTAATGCAAACTCCTTAAGGAAAACATATGGAGCCAAGTGATGACATGAAATGGCAGGTGTATGTGAGTGGGTGGGTGGTGGGGTCACCTGGTCAAGACAGAAGTGTCAGGAGGATTCAAAGATTACATAATTTCAAATAAAAATATGTCTGCTTGTTTGGAAAGCCTATTTTCTAAGAGACAGGACTTTTATAGGTGGAGTACATATTCACATATACTGTCATTTTCTTCTTCCCTTAATCAAAGGGTCATCAGGGTACAAGGAGAAGATGCCCAGAGGAGATAAGAAGTCATCACAGGCCTTGCCTTTTTCATAATTGCATATGGCCTGCTCTCATTCTGATCATCCTATCTTTAAAATCTTTCTAAAATGCTTGCTGTTGTTACATCCTAAGCATGTATGTGTATATTGACACGTGATGCACAAACTCTCTGAACATATGCAAGAACCCATTTGAGAGGTAACATTTTAGTCTGTGATTTACAACAATTACAAAGAGTGATGGGTGTCTGCTATTCATGATCAGGAGTTCCATTTATGAATTATGAGACAAGCTGAAGGGAGTATCAAAGGGCTGTTGCAAATTATGGGAAGATAAGCTCCTTTCCTTTGCCTTCAAGTATCCCCCTCTGGCTCAACTTAGCTCATTGACTTCCCTGGAAGGTGGGAAGTGTCTGATGTAGGGAGAGAAGCACACTGTAGATTTTTCAAAATCTCTTCCAAATAGCAGTTCACAGTTCATGTCAGTCCACAGTTCATGTCATAATGTCAAGTAGGACTACAGCTGCCTGTCATCTCTTCCTGAGGAAGAGTTATACACACTTATGCTTTGAATTTGTCATCTCACTTAATTAGCATGGCACAATTTTACAGATGAAAAACCTGAAGGTCAGAGACATAAGGAACTTGTCTATGAGGGTGCCCCTAAGAAGAGACAAGTTTCAAAGTCAGGTCTGTCTCCTAACATCGATTTGGGGGTAAATCTGCTTTCCCTCTATTGCTTCTACTGATGAACAGAGACCCCCTTAGTTATGTTAATGCAATGTAACACAGTTTCTTCATCAATGCCCCATATCTTCTAATATTCACTGAACACTGTCAGCATGTCTGACTAGATGAAGTACTCCTTTTTGAAAGAAAGGTGAGAAAAAGGGCAACAAATTCATTGAGTTGAAAAGTAAAAACTGCCTTTGCCTATAAAGGGGAACCCAATGAAAATTCTGATTTAGAAATTAAAGATGGCACAGGTAATATTAAGGGAAAGAATAGTAATGGAGATGAAGTTTAAGTAAGGAGAGAGAGGGGGAAGTTAGGGATAACTCATACAAAGAACATTTAAAAAAGCAATATGAGCCAGGCGGTGGTGGCGCACGCCTTTAATCCCAGCACTCGGGAGGCAGAGGCAGGTGGATCTCTGTGAGTTCGAGGCCAACCTGGACTACCACCAAGTGAGTCCCAGGAAAGGCGCAAAGCTACACAGAGAAACCCTGTCTCGAAAAACCAAAAAAAAAAAAAAAAAGCAATATGGAAACCTATGGTTTTATAAATTCATACATATATTTCTATAAGAGTTTACTTGGAGTAACCCTACACAGGAGATTATGCTCATCCCAGAAGCCATAGACTGCCAAATAAAGAGTCCACTGTCAAATGTAAAATATCTTCCCTCAAGTTTTTGGTCACATGCGACACAGAGGATGCTCCCCACCCAAATACAGGCTATTGTCACTTCTGATAGTTTCCCACCAGAAGTTGATGAGAAGACCCTATTGTTGAAGACATCACACATACTGGTTATAGAACAAGGAGAAATCAAGTTCATACTGACTAGGAGGCTTCTCTCCGCTAACTTGTTTTCATCATATTAGAAGGTGCTATGTTGGCTAAAGAAGGGAAAAAGTCATTATCAGTCTTCCTGAGCTGTGAACCGTATGAACTGCAGTAACAACCAGTGTGGCAAAGTATGCCCAGTGGTGCAACAGCGGTACAATGTTGTGAGGGTAACCAACCATTTCCTGATTGGCTTTAGATCTGCTTCACACACACACACACACACACACACACACACACACACACACACACACACACACTTGCCTGGTACTGCAAATCTGGCCCCAAATCCATGCCTACAAAGCTTCTAGGCCCCAGGGAGGAGCTTACGACTATTACGTTGCAAAATAGACAGAGTATCAAACTTCCATCTCAATTTTTATCTCTCTATTTATAGATTGGTGTTGCTCTCAGACCTCACCAGAGAAGTTTCTTTGTGCAGCAGACAGCGGCTAACACAGAAACTCACAACTAGTCAAAGTACAGAGAACAATAAGTGTCATCAGAGCGCTCAGTCATAAATGGGGCATCCATATCACACCCCTTCTCCAAAGCTCAGGCACCACAGAGGGGAAGGGCATATTGAAAGAGGCAAAAGTCATGGAATACCAGAATAAAAAGTGTCTTTTGAATATGACATGACAGTTGTACCTACGAACTCACAGTGCCCGTGGCTGCCTAAACTCTATCAAACCAGTCAATATTCTAGTATGGAATGGAAGGGGGCTCATAAGCCATATCCAAACTGTGAAATTACGGATTGTGGAGGGCTTCTGGGGAAGGGAGAGTCAGTTTTCCTTAAGGGTCAAATATGCTCCAGTAGATAGCCTGTTTAGGAATATATGAGAAGCAAAAGTTGGGATCAGGAAGTTATTTATAAAAAAGGGGGGGCATAAAGTAGGAATGGATCTGAGAGGAGGTGAATATAACCAAAATATGTTATATGAAATTCTCAAAAAATCAATAAAAACACTGTTTATAAAGAGAAATTAAGGGTAGAAGGACTCATAGAAAGGCCATTAACTTTTATGAGGATATCAGACATGTGCCAGTCCAGGGAGCTAAGTGTTTTGTGTTCTGGTCTTACTGTATCTCTGTTATATAAATGGAGGAAATGCCATGGTTACAATTCTGTTAGTCCTAATCACAAAACTTAAATCAAGGTTTAGGAAATTATGATATGGGATTTTGTAGCAATCAATACATAATGCAAACCGTGAAGCTACCATTACGCATAAAGGCTTCCTATGATTGCATCATCTTCATCCTTCCCGAGACGCCAACATAGAATGCCTTTACCTCACTTGTGGAGCCCATGTCTGTGGCTGTGTTGGTTTTATGTCAACTTTACCACAAGCTGGAGTCATTGGGGAAGAGAGAGACTCTCACTCAAGAAAATGTCTCCCTAAGACTGGCCTATAGGCAAGTCTGCCAGGCATTGTCTTGATTAATGATGGATATAAGAAAGCCCAGCCAGCCCACTGTGGGTGGAGCCAACCCCACACAAGTGGTCCTGATTGGTGTTAAAATGAGCAGACCAATAAGCAGCACACTTCCATGGTTTCTGCTTCAATTCCTGTCTCCAGGCTTCTGCCTTGAGTTCCTGCCCTGGCTTCCCTCACTGATAATAATGTGACCCAAGAGCTACAAGAAATAAACCCCTTCCTCCATAAGTTGCTTTTGGTCATGCTCTTTTACTACAGCAACAGAAGCCCTAACTAAGTCCCCAACTAAGCTCTAACTTGAGTCTCTTGTGACCAAGAAACTACAAAAATGATTCACCCAAAGAAGGAAAGTGTGTGAGCAAACGAACTTCACTGTGAACTGCTGTGGGATGTTCTGTATTTTAAATGTGTTGCTCTGATTGGTTAATAAATAAAACACTGATTGGCCAGTAGCCAGGCAGGAAGTATAGGCGGGACAAGGAGAGAGGAGAATTCGGGGAAGTGGAAGGCTGAGGCAGAGAAACACTGCCAGACACTGCCATGAAAAGCAAGATGTAAGGTACCGGTAAGCCATGAGCCACGTGGCAACTTATAGACTAATAGATATGGGTTAATTTAAGATATAAGAACTATAGGCCTGCCACGGCCTTACAGTTTGTAAGCAATATAAGTCTCTGTGTGTTTACTTGGTTGGGTCTGAGCGGCTGTGGCACTGGCGGGTGAGAGAGATTTGTCCTGACTGTGGGCCAGGCAGGACTGGAAAAAACTCCAGCTACAGTGAACCCTCTAAGGTACCAACCTAAAAGGCCTGAAGGCAGAAGAGCTCTAATTGTGTGGCTCCATTTGGGAGTAGGATTACAGTACTGAGTCATCACACAGATTTTTCCATTTGAGAAACCAGAGAGAGAAGAACTATATGTAAGTCTTACAGGAAAAAGGCAAAGTAAAAAGGCACACAGTGTGGAGTGGGGTTCAGTATGCCAGCACTGCCCTCCGTGCTGAGCGTTCGGAGCTATATCAGGCAGCATTTGCTCATTCTGCCTTGACTCAACACAGCAGCTCTGCAGGAACCACACATTAGATTATACATCTTAATTAGGTCCATGAAGTGGCGTTCTCTGGTTGTACTCAGTGTCAAAGCACTCTGCTTCCCTGGGGAGTCTCATGCTTCCCATTTCCTCTTGCTAACTCTCAGGCTGACATTTCCTCTGTGACAATACTGCTGTGGTGATTTATTTCCTGACTCATTTTCCAATAGCAAGTAGATGACTTCACTCAACCCCAGATGGAAATCTGTTGTGCCTCCTCATAACGAGAAATGATTGCTTTTTAGGAGATGGTATCCAATGCTCATAATATATTTCACAAAATTCCCAAAATAAGTTCCCAGAATTAGTTGAAGTCATTCTGTCTGCTGACTGTAGATTTCCTAATTGATTTTGGCCCTAAAAGGCCAATATAAAGCTTTCTTTGGTTAGTCATTGGCACAGACATGACCTGGGACTCCATCTGGGCCCAATATTGCAAAGATTGATTCTTTATAATGTCCATTATTGAACTGTAAATTTTCCATTTGTTCACTAAGGTTCATTCTTCACACTGTTCACAACACAAGAAAACTGACTTTTATGGATTCAGTTAAGAAATGCCCCTGCAGTTTGACTTTTACTGAGTTTAGACTTTGAGAAACAACCATAACAGATTGCACTGAGAAATGAAGAGAGGCTACAGTGTTTATTCCCTGGCTCCCTCTCTCCTAGGCTAAGGTTTGCTGTGGTTGTGCCCTCTAATGGAGACCATGGCTCCTCTTGGGTACCAGGCACTGCTCCAGCCAGAGATCCTTACCCTGGGTACCAGTCACTGCTCCTTCCCATTGCTTATTCAATTCTAAATGGTTTAAATTCTCCCTCTTATAATTTTGAACAGATTCATGCCTATCTGTCCCCTCTCTATCTATCTCCCGAGATTCAGGGTAGTGCTACTGTTTTGTGCTTTGCTTAGTTTTTCAAATAGGAAATATAAAAATGAAGGAAGACATACAACACCT